TGCGGAGATTGGGGCCCAATCACTTCGGGGTCCAGCATTTGGTGATGCTACAGGAGCGTTTCCGTTTGACGAAACTGGCCTATGTTGGAAACCTGCATGGGCGGCGCCTATAACTAAAGTAATGAGGGGAACAAACGCTTTCATTGCTCAATTTCCTTATGACTTTAATTATTTTGAGAGTTCTAAGGGTTCTCAATTGTACGTACTTCTAGAGATTAGTCGATTAGTCCAAGCAATGCCGCGTTTGACGGAATCGCAATCCACACTGATGACGTCCCATATTAATGACTGTATATATATACTTTATATCTAACGGCTGCTTCTATACAGTGGAAAGACCTCAAGGCGGCAAGGGAGCAATCGACCAAGATCGCTTTAGTTTGATAACTGACTGTCGCTTCCTAACCACAGAAAGTGCCACGGTTTTGCTTTAGACTGAGCCACAACCAAGTACGAATTGAAAGAAGCGGGGATGCTTCGGCAACGGCAGTAATAAGCAAAACGCGCGTCGTTATTCGCACCTCTCCTCGCTTGGCGTCTATCAGCCGTCTAAAATGTAGACGACAATCATATGTAGACTAAGACATACTCATATGCTTTTCTTATCTACACGTACTTATTTCCCGTGGAATGAGGATTGAAGTCACCGATCAGTGTGAAATCTTTGCCTCTTGCCCTACATGTTTTATTACTTGATTAACGGCTGATGGCCACTGATTCTATCTAGTGATCCCACGCATCACCCATAGAGACAGTAAAAATCTTAATTGTGTTGTGGTTGGTGTCATTAGCTGTTGTATTTTGTTTCTTATTGTCGTAGCTATTGCCCTATTGGTGATAATACAGTGTATCAATTATTTTATAGGAAAGTTGTCTGCCTCTACACAAAAATCGACGTTGAAAGCGGCAACTGATAATGATTAGCGAAAATGAAGGCGCCAACTCATAATTTCAGCAGCTGGCATCAACGGCCGAGCAACCAGTATGTGACGGAATGAAGTCGCTCGCGACAACGATTGAAGTACTAAGTATCGCCGCAGAGTACTTACTGTTGTAACGTAAACAGCGGCAGACGCGTTTACGTCAAACTAAGCTGAGCCGATCATAGCTCCCCCAGCGGTACAACACTTGATTGACGGTTGGCAAACTGTCACCTGTTTGAAAACAATTATTAGTGGCTGTCAATTGAACGAGCAAATCGATATGGTCGGAACTCCACACTTTGGCTCCTTAGTGTTTGCATTTCCTTTCATCCCGATCGCCGGTAACCACGTCGACGGAATAACTCTATAGGGTCAAGGCCGACTCGGTGAGGTATACGTAAGCGCATCGCCATTCGACTTTCCATTTTCTTCCGCGCTCGTGCGGCGGCTGTATCATCTGTCTCGAGCAACCGCCATTAAGGGTCCTCGTTAAACTGGCCACCAGTTTGTAAGTCATAGCGTGAGAAGCCAGTGATCGGGCAGTAACGAATCGAATGGCGTTCGATTTGTGTGCTGTTCGCGACATACGCAGCCATCCGACGACTCTCCTATCCGTGGCACATTTATAAGGATTACTAAAGATAAGCTTTTAAGCTTTTTCCAAATGTATTTATAAGCTCAAGTGAACATTTTAAAAGACATGATGCGATTGGTAAGATTATTTAGTGTTAGAAAGTGTCGCACTAAATGCGTTGTTGTTGTTGTACTTTCAGACCTTGCCGGAATAGATGAGCGAAGGACACCGATGTAAAAACGACGAATGGACGAAAGGTTACGGCACTTATGTATAGCGACGTTTTGTAGATTAACACAGAAGGCCTCAGACGGTTTTCAACAATATCGGCAAGGCTTTGATTCTCTTGAAGCCACGAGGATCAATAACCATTCGTTTGGTTCAGGGGATTAAACGCTAATCGTTATTAAATGTATACGGGCGTTGTTACGTCAGCACTCTGGAGTGCCTTTGACGTTGTATAAATACTAAATATATTATCAGCATCAATGTAACTCATAATAATGTAATTGCGGCCGTATGTATTCATGCCCGATGAAGGTCGAATTGAAATGCAGATCATTTCAGTTTGCTGGTCAGCAAGCAGTAAGCTGCCAGTCATGATGTATATATATATATATATATATATATATATATATATTATATATATTATATATTAGGATTAAGCTAGGGTCAAAAGACATTATGCATTTTTATTACGTTAAGTTCTTAAAATTTTAATTGTAAAATTCGACCAAGTTACGCAGAGGTACGTTGGCTGTGCGTAATCCTGGCGCTTCGTCAATGTATGATTCGCTGGTATCCACTGAAAAGACTGGCCTAAGTGAGACTCAACTTAAGATAGCTAGCTAAATTAAAAATCTCGGAAGTAAAACATCAGACTTTATCAATTCCAATGAAGCCCTGTAGGATAAAATCGACGTAAGGTTCAACCTAAATGATCATTATAAAGACTGAAAAATCATCAGCGGCATGCGTTTCTTCGATAGACTCTACCATTAGGACGCAATTTAAGAAAGCTGCTTACAATACCCTCAAACAAAAAGGAACCAGAATTTCTATTTTTTTTTTTTAATTTAATGTAGAGAAACCTTTGAGGTAGCCCAGAACATCTTTTTCTTCCACCAAATAACAACATTTCAGGTAATATATGTTGGAACTTTATTCTTCATTTATCGATAATACAAAGTACTCATTTAATCCACTGATGACGATCAGTGTTATGTTGTTTTTGCTTTTCGCCAGTTCCTTGTCAGTGTTTCTCCATCCACGTACGTTTCAGTATCAGCTATCGCATGTCCGTATGTTCAGTTTAATATAATAGCCCCTCCGGTTGCCTGTCTGCATTCAAATCTACTGCAATCTATCGTTTTCTCCTTCTGTCTTTCAATTCAGTTGAACTCTTCTCCACTTCCGTCTTATGCTCTCTATTACAGCTAGCCCCCTTTTTCGCACTTATTCGCTTTTTCCGTCATCGCACATTATTTTTGTTAAGTTTATATTCTCGTTTTTTCAATGTTATTACCATTATAGTATTTATTATCGTCATCACCATATTTATTCGGTTTTATCTCATCACGAAATCTTCTCCCACGTCCTGCTTCAACAGGAGCTGAAAGAAGATTTCATACATTGGTTAAAATGTGAGTTTGCTGCTATTATTTATAGTTGTCCTCTTAGATTTTATATAGTCATTCTATGTATATATGTATGTATCAGTGCGCAGTGGGTCTTACCATTCAGAAATACATTCATGCAGTAGTTTATTATTATCAATGATCTATCTATCCATTACATTTAGGTAGATCTGTTCGTCTTACGACTGGTGGTACGTTGATGATACTTTCGATTCTTTCTAGCCGGCTTAATCATCTCATCATTTATCCCGTTTGGTACCAGTCTTCGCGGCATGACGTGTCTGCCATTGGGTCTTAGGCTTAGCCCGCTGCCAATGGTCACTTTTCCGCTAGCGTTACTGAGTGCGTTTCTTCGAAGATCGGAGCAAACGTCCTAATTGGCTATTTTACCAGTGGTGCGAACCTCGCTTGTGTTGTGTTTCTACAGTATTCATAATTGTTATACTGCTAGTAATAATATCATGGTACATTTACTATATCTTAGCGTACGCTGTTGTTGTTGTTGTGGTGGTAGCAATTAATCGTCGCGCTGATGGATGTGTAATAAGACGAATGTTCCGTCCCTATGTACAACAATATACAACCATTTACAATGAATTGAATTTTGAACGCTCCGCTTTCCTTCTATTGTGTGTGTGTGTGTGTTTTTTTTTATTCTCATCCTATTATCATAATCGTTTAACGTAATCGCCCTGTTCTTTTCAATTGTCACGTGTCGGTGTGTTGAACTTATTCTTTACAATTTGTCCACTTACGCTTGAGTCAATACAATTTACACTCATCGGTGTTCTTACTACGGTCTGGGTCTCAGTACAATGACCGCGCTCACATACAACTCCATGTGCACTTAGATCCTAGTTTTGGGTCTCTGTTGAAGCGAATTTTCCGCGTCCGTCACGCAGCTTCACAGTAGACGCATTATCTAATACTATCAATACCCAAGCATTACGAACAGGCTCGATAAGTTACAGTATTAACAACTTAGCTTCGTCCGACTTCATGCAATTCAGATTCAGTTATCAGAATTAAGTTGTATATATTTTTTTGCCATTTTCGTTCTTTAATTTTCTATACGATCAAGCATTGTTGATATATATATATATATATATATATATATATATATATATATATATATATATATATATATATATACATGTCTCATCTTTTGTTTAATTGTAGAGCTAGCACAAACGTAGAGGAAGCATGCACTATAGATGCGAGCGGCCTCAAAAGCGCAAGTACAAAAACGGAAGTAACGGTGATGCTATTTTTAAAAAATTCGCGAACTTACAATTATTTTTCTACTTTCTACATGTTTTACTAGTAAGCATAGTAAACACAAGGGAATTATACTCGGGTTTTTCTGGATTGGCAGACAAAAGTAACTGGCTAGGAAAAAGATACACGAAGTGATCCTTTTTTCACCCATATATATATATATATATATATATATATGAGTCTCATCTCATCAAAGACAACGCAACAAAAACCAGCAGAAAAATAAATATGTGTCGTTGAATTGTACAAAATGAATTATACAACAATTGACTACGACGTGTGCAGAATAATTGTTTCTTCCTTAATGGTGGTAGTTTCACCGTCTCTCTCTCTCCCTCCCTCTTGATATATATATATATATATATATCTTCTATCGTACTTATTATAGAATAATAATAATAATATTGTTACATACTTCTAGTACTGGTACTCTAATTACTGTCTTTATCATCATGCGATTATTGCCTTCATTGAAATCTACCTTCGGCTGTGTTGTAGTTCCTTCAATAGTAGATCGTCTCTCGTTATGTTTATTTTTTGTGTATTTAATCTATAGATAGTCGAGATTATTAGACACAAAATTATGATTCTTGATCTAACTCGGATCTGCTGATGGAAGTGTGTTTATCGATTGATTTATGTCGACACCGCCGCTCCTTTACTGTTATATGCATGCTTGCCATGTACGTCTGCCATACGACCATTCACCATCGTATCCTTTTTTTCCTAGCCAGCAATTACCGTACTGCAAAACTTTACCCCCTTTTAACGTCACCTTTACTCTATGTCGTTTCATCATATACTTAGTCAATTCGCGGGCCCTTAGTGCGTCTCGTCACTTGTGCTCTCTGGCGTTCGTTAGTTGCATTATACGCGTGTTACATTATACAAGAATATACGAAAGGTTTTCCCATATCTGTCTGCGAGAAAACTTCATGTAACAGTCCATAAAGAAACACTTACCAGATACCGTAAATGTGGATGATTTTTTCTATTCGCTTCTATAAATACATGCGGAGAAATATACGCTTAAATTTCATCTGCGCTCTTAGTTAGCCCCTTTTTCTTAATTCTAGCAAAACGCTGAAGAGACTCTCTTTCGGAACTTCGTTGAGATTCATTCGGGTTTCTGTGTCCCCAGATCAGTTGCTATTAGGATAACACATGGCACACATCTGTACACTCGCACGCTCATTTAAAATACAGTTGTTCGTGATAATTCTACAGGAACACCGAGCCAGTTATTGGTACATATTGCTATTTGGCTATGGTTCAAGTTGACATCGAACGTCACCATGGACATTTTTATGATATAGTAACAATTACTACGAGACTCAGTATACAAGAACTATCCTCGTGATAATGAGGGTGTAAATTTAGCTACATAACGGATATGAACGATCGCAAGTAGAAGCCAAATTTATATGAAGAACTTGTGCATCGGTAATTGAATTCTAATGTAAAAGTTCGTGGCTGCAGTTCTGAGAATTGGTTAGACGACAAGATCCCTGTTCGGTTCAATGATCCGAGTTCGTAATCCAAGAAGTAACGACCTAATTATATAATTAACTTTGCTCATAATAGATAGATTTATAGTTCGTATGGCAATCGATATTTCCTTGTTCACCTAAGACTTAGAATTGCGTATTAACAAGTAAAACAATTTCCAATTTCGATGACCCTCCTATTTCTATATATGTCCCCTATGATGCCTAAGTTGCTAGTTTGTCATGCTTACTTATTGATAGGCCTGTGTTTGCCCACGAAACTTATCTCTACTCGTCTCTGGCTGCTTCACAAGCTTTAATCCCATAGTTAGCGACGCCCATAAACCTGAAAGTCATGGCAGTAATTTGTTACTGTGTTAAATCGGCTTTTCTTTCATCAGGGTGTAACCATCACAAATTTGTTGTTTTTCTGAAGCGTTTGCTCTTACAAAGTATACGAAAAGTGCTCTATATGCTAATACATAGCGTATCCGGATAGTCCATTTTGTATCTTTCCCGTCCCTAAATCTCGTGTATCTAAATCTGGTATTTGCTTGCGCCGTAAACAGCTATAAGTGGAAAGATAAATAGATCGTAATAACTGTTCCTGCCCTAAAGCATGCTGTAGTACAACCACTAATTTCTATTAGATATTACTCACGCACACACGCACACATTTCTTTTTCGCCATATCCGCCATTTTGAGCCTATGACACCTACACAGGCGAAAGGGACTGCAGATCGGCAAAGACGCGCGCCTTGCTCTGACGCTTACGATCTATAAGATTTGTTTTATCGGGCGTTTGAGTATTTTGTGCCCTCAGATTGTGAGCTGGGTTTCATTATCCATACGTGCTTCCTTTAATCCCAGCGCAACCGTTCTGTAAACTTGCATTGACCCCTAAGCACACACCCACTTCGTAAACCCTACAATTATTTTTCGTGTTCACATTTTGTATACGGGATTACTTGAAAGTGAAAAATTTCCGCTGTGCGAAACCGTTTCCTATTTCGGCTGATGTTTGCCGCAAAGCTTTGATAGTAAATAACCTACTCAATCTGACAGGTTGCATTGTTGCTTTTGTTAATATTGTTACAGACGACATCCAAACTACAGTGCTGAGACCAGGTACCAGCTGAAAGGCAAGCCTTAGCTCGGTATAGTCCACAGCCTCCGCATTGTTATACGATCGTTCTGTTTACAGTAACAGCGGATCAATGATGTCTCCCTACTACAGAAGTATATTTTCATCTATAGTATCGTTAAACAAGCTCGGTACGCGTTGCTTAATTTTCTGCTTCGCAGCTTTTCTTCATAGCATATCGAGTTTGTTTCAGGGGCACAGATGACAGCTTCCGGTCACCTGAACACTCATCGCAGAGGATATTATCGTCGATATCTTTTGTGGAAAGATGAGGATCGGTGTTTATATAGTGGACCGCTTTTGTATTGTCAGAAGCAAGGTACCTATACGAGAGACCTCTGTCATTGCATGATGATGAGTCGTGGCATGTATGTATGCATGTATGTATGTATGTGATTATAAACAGTTATAATAGCGTCCGAATTGTCTGCAATAATCAATAAGAGCCGTTCGTCTTAATTCATCGGCGCATACCATTACCAATGTTGTTATTACTATTCATTCAGATCTACATACAGAGATCGCCTGTCACCGCCCAAAATGAGTGACGGTAGACACTTGTCATTAGAGTGCTCAAATTAATCATTATTACATAGAGTTTTTTTTTTTTACATGTATCATTATTATCATCAGTGTTGCAATTTTCATCGTTATCCTTATTATTGTCATTAATAATAATATTATTATAATAGTTATTACTGTGTTCCTGTTGTGCCCACTCAGCAACTTCTCATCCTTTCTACTTCCAGGATGAGTTGCTTCGCGACGACGGGGGAATCATGTCAAGAAGATACTGGCGTTGAAGTTCGGCAGCGCTCCTCGCTGACGAGCTAGACGCCGAGCCTCCGCGAGAACCACTTCCACTAGAGCCGGCTCCACTGCTTCCTGAGACTCGGGACGATGAGGATGACCCTTGCTGGCCTCCTTGACCGTGAGCGCCGTGACCTCCTCCATGTGAAACTGCCGCCGATTGAACTTGCTGTTGTAGCAATGACAGCGAATACGCCTGCAGCAGCGGATTCATTAGGGGGTTCATCAGCGCTGCAGCAACTTGCTGCTGCTGCTGCTGCTGCTGCTGTTGTTGCTGGGCAGCAGCGGCTGCTGCCGCAGCCGCCTGTTGCGCTGCAGCTGCCACAGCGGCCACCTGCTGGTGTTGTTGTTGTTGCTGCTGCTGCTGCTGCTGCTGTTGGTGATGGTGATGATGGCTACCGCTCGAACTGCTTGCACCACCGGCGGCGCTATTTCCACCGGCTGACATGCCGCTAGACGAACCTGCGCAGGCAGAATAGGACGCGGAGCAGGATAATACATGGATTTGCTAGCTTTAACTTGATTAAATTATAAATTAATTTCGTCCGAAAATATTTCGAGTTGTACTAGGGGCATTACCCTAACCATACATGTTACAGGTCGAGTTTACATGCGCCATATTGACAATACAGTTGTTGTAAACTAAATTTCGGGTCACCGGTTTAGATAATGGCTGTTTTTAACAAAGAGGATTATATCGTATGTACAAGCGAACATTAACAAAATAGAAACTAAAATTCGATAGTTACCCTTTTTCTGCGTACCTCTAGAACTGTGCGTTGTGGCCGCCATGAGTTGTGTAAGAAACTGCTGCGTCTGCGCCTGTAAGATCGCCTGCTGTTGTGCTGCAGACATTTTTGACAGCTGCGAGGCAAACGAATTATGCTGTGCAGCAGCAGCCGCCACAGCAGCGGCTGCCGATGAGGTAGAAGCTGAGATAAGCAGGACAAGAGCAATAAAAAAAACTGCGTTTCATAAAGGGAACTAAATGATCTTTTTTCATCAGGGGTGAACAGGTTCTAATTGAAAAGGTCATCAATAATTTAACTCTTACAAGGATCGCGTCGAAACTTATCTTAGTGAATACGTACACGGGAAAAAGATGCAAATACCGTTTTTATTCGAAAAACGAATTTTCTAGGAAAGAAATGATCAAGTGTTGGGATAATAAATCAATCGACCTGGTTGTTTGTGAACGAGAAAGCTTGTCTCGTAGTGATCGATTTTGAGAGAGTAGCAAAAGCAATACTTACTTTTGCCCTTGCTTTTGCCTCGGCTTGTTGTTGGAACCGGACTATGCGCCGTCTGCTGATGATGCTGCGATTGGCTATGGTGCGAAGAGGGTCCAGCACCTCCACCCATAACGGCCCCCATACCCAGGCCCATTAGGCTGCCTAGTCCACCGAGTTGTGCAAGTCCGCCCAAACCGCCAAGACCCAACAGCTGACTCTGCATCGCCGCCATTACAGCAGCCGCGTTCTGTTGTTCCGCCAACGACGACGAGTTCCCAGATGTTGTGGTATTCGAACCAGAGGATGAAGAGCGACTGGCCGTTGATCCAACGACGCTTGATGAAGTGCCGCCACTGCTACTGTGCGCACTGTGGCTTCCACCAGAGCTTCCGCCTCCGCCACCGCTATGAAGTCCACCACTATGATGATGATGATGATGATGATGGTGATGATGAGGTGAAGCCGAGTGATGTCTAGAGGATGAGGTGGAGTGACTTCCACTCGCGCTGCTGCTACTACTGCCGGCTGAGTGGTGACCCGAATGCGAACTCGAGGTGGTACCGGAGCCCGATAACGAGGACGCTGCTGATGATGAAGTTCTGGAGGGGAATAGAAATGAAATACGAATGTTATGAATTGAACGTTAAGATGCAATTTTTTGTGGCAAACTGTTATTATTATTAGATGCATTAATTCCAAACAGGACACTGCTACTGTTAAAGGGATTATTATTTTCCATCATAGAATTATCCACATGGTTTATGAGGACTCTTGGTTGTTGACAGTAGGAAAGTTCTAATCTGCACGATATTTTTAGTTAGACGCTGTGCCTTACGGACAACCAACATATTGTACAAGCAATATTTCTTAGAGTATTCTTAAGGAATAACAAAACGGTGACAAAACAAAAGCTTCTAACTGAAAACGGAAGCATTTTTGATCTTCTTATTAATAAGAATGGTTCGTTAAATACACCAATTCAGAACAAAACCAAAATTATTTAATGCGGTCAAAAAATTAAAACAGGTCAGCACTGTTCGACATATACATACTGTATTATGCATTAAGCGTATACATACGGTGCTCACTCAATATATTACATAAAGCAAGGAACAAAAAAGGTAACGGAAAGAGGCCACGTACATATGTCCAAGGTACCTGTGCAGTTGTGCCGCCGCCGTCAACTGTACGGCCGCTGTAGCAGTGGCACTGAGTTGGGCGGCCGCAGCAGCCGCAGTCTGCTGTTGCTGTTGTTGCTGCTGTTGCTGCGCCTGTTGTTGTTGCGCCTGTTGTTGCTGTTGTTGTTGTTGTTGTTGTTGCTGCTGCTGCTGCTGCTGCTGCTGCTGCTGTTGTTGTTGAAGCTGTTGCTGCTGTTGAAGTTGCTGTTGCTGCTGCTGTAAGGCTGCAGCAGCCTGCAACGTTGCCTGGTGATTCGCTTGAACCTGTAGTTGTTGTTGCAGATGTTGCTGTTGCTGTTGTTGCTGCTGTTGCTGTTGTTGTTGCTGCTGTTGTTGTTGTGTCTGTATTGTCTGCGGTTTGGGAGATGGAGAGGGCGCAGGTGAAGGTGTTTTAGGGTTGGGAAGAGGCGCCGACGCTGGTGGAGGGGGTGGGGGAGGCGGCGATGCCGCCGCTGCCAGCGCCATTTGCGTTTCAAGCTCCTGCTCAGCCTGAAGAGCTTTGACGAATGCCGCCTTGAGGCGGGCCGTGTGTTCCGCCTTAAGGGCTTTCTTCATATTGTGCGATACACATTTTTCGCAGATAACTGACGGGCCACTATCTTTCTTTGAACCCTTGGGCTTCTTGGATAAGCCAGTTGTAGTTGTTTCGGCCTGTTGCCACTTCCACACGGGCGTGAAATCGCCCTTGCACTGGACGCAGACGAAGGGCGCGGGTGGGGGGCCCTGGAATCGTCAAGAAAAGTATTCCGAAAACAAAAAATGACATCGTTAGCAGCTGCTTGATATCGTGCGTCTGAATTGTGTTATGAGTAGGAAATACCATTTATATTAAGCTTATGCCGTTACAAAAACGAGACGAGAACGAGCATGTTTGGCAAACCTTGTTTGTGTCATATCCCTCCTTGATGAAAGTGACGACCGTTTCAAGACCTAAAAGGCAAATAAATTCTGCGCTGCTTCCGTTCGGTACAAAGTGCATCTCAGGTGGGGGCGCTTTAGGCGGCGGAATTGAGAGCAACGACTTCTCTAGTTGTTTACGAAGTGCTAGCTTGGCTGCTGCCTGTCGCTGGGCCAACGTTAACGTGTTCGCCGCGTGGTCCGATGATGACTGCTTAGAGCTGGTGGTTCCCGTATTGGTGCCGCTACTTGCTCCGTTCGTCTGGGAAGTAAAAGACGTTGTGAACGTCATGCACGAGATAGATATAAACTCATGTAGGAGTAGAGGCTGGAAGTTCTTTTCGTAACCATCGAATAACCATATAACTTGCATTGAAATGCAGAACCATATGCCTATGCAAGCCTAGATGCGGCATAAAGCACGTACCTGCAAACTAGCTGACAGGCTTGTGGTGCTCGCTTGACGCTGGCTTTCCCCCCGCGGCGTGGAGCTGCGCCGTTTACCGCTCGCGGTGGCTGGAACTGGACCGCTCGTCGGTACCAATTCGACCCCCTGTGCTGCCAGCTTGCTGGTCGTCAATTGAAGGATCTCCGAAGTGGCTGGCGAACTTGGTCGAGACTTCTCCTGCTGAACAAGTCAAATGATAGGACCAATGTAAAGCTTCTGCAGCTATTATCGATTCAGGATGATGATCAGCTTTGACGATATAGATACTACAAGAATCAACATCAGCTAGGCGGCGCTTAATTAAGCGATTCCTTTACGTAGCTAATATTTCTTACTCGAGGTTGGACTACATTTGCTGCAAAAAGGTGTACCTTGTTTTCTTTGTTGCTAAGCGCTGTCATCAATGGGCCATTGTGTGCGCTTTGAGGCGTGCGACTACCGTTCTGTGCGCTCTGAAGTCCATGATGTTGAGCAGTAAGTGTTGGTGCAAGATTCGTTGGTAGCGGAGGAGGAGGTGGCTGCATCTGACTCTGCTGAAGCCGCCGAAGTAGCAGAAGTTTCATTTCTTCGCCCCGTAGTCGCTCCTGAAGTTCGGTGATTCTACGCATTTTCTCTTCAAATATACTCAAATCCAACTGTAAGAGTCAAGATTGATCAATTGAAGAATCAGTTGGTTTAGCGCTTAGTTACTTAGGCTGTAAAGTTTCTTTGAATTTTACAAATAGCACCGACAAGACAGCGCAAAAGCTAAGGCTCTAGTAAACAGACGCATAACATGGAATTACCTTGTGGTCGTTGTGAGATAAGTAGATGTCCTCGTCAGCTTTTTGAAATGCATCCATCTTCTTAGCATATTCTTCAATCTCATCGGCCTTCTTCGTCACGGTTAACTGTATCAGCGGTTTCGAGAATGTGAGAGGTACTACGCCCGACTTCCACTCTGGTAGCTCCCTGAGCGCTGGGGGCGATATTGCCGAAGTCTTATGCGTTTCGCCGACAGTTAGGGAAACTGGCTCTTCGTCCATGTGGACTTCTTCCTTGCTGTCTGTGATCAAGGCCTTGACATCTTTGAAAAGGTCGGCACTCCCGTTGACCCGAGCTTTTTTAGCATCGACCAGTGGGGTTGCATTCCCGTCCTCCAAATGGTGTTTGCCATTATCCCGAGGCGCTGAACAGGAATCCGTAGTGAGACCCACTAGAGAAACGTCAACCTACAAAACACGAATATCGAAAGTTTAATACTCATAACGATAAGATGGGCTAACGCCTGAAGGAGAATGTCACATTGAGAAAGAGATACACAAATACACATTTGAAGCCCGCAATTTAAAAAAATTATTTGTAAAAAAGGCAAATCGTGTTGTATCTGAGTTTGGTTTACATCGTGCATAAAGCACAGTCTACGGCATACTCTGACGATTAATGACAATAAAATCAACATACGCCTGTCGCTTGACGTCTAATAATGCTAGCACTATTTACATCTTTATTTATGTTGAACTTATTAATTTACTACTGTTTTTAGTTTAGCTAGTGTTTAGGTAGTTGAACACGAATTTCAATGGGCGTAATTAGAAAATTCTTCTAACCTCCATTGGAGACGACTTTGCTGTGGCCATCATCAGATCATCTACCGACGGCCCCGTAGTCTCCATCTCGGGTAGTTCAATGAAGACGTCCCCGCTTACGCTACCGCGGCTGCCTCTATGATTGTTTGTGGCATTCACCAGCTCAGCTGGCTGTTGGACCTTATCGATTTTTTGCCCATTCGCTTCACCTATGCTGCCACGCGTGCGGCTGCTTGTACCGTCTTTACCTGCAATACCTGCCGCTGTTGCTACAGCTGCTGCAGCTACTGCGACGTGCTTCGTGCAGGCGCCATCCACAAACACGGTATCGTTAAAGGATGATAGGCCATCGCTGACCTGAGGACTAGGAGGCCCACTCTCCGATTGGCCAGTGTCAGCATTGTCTTCCTCCTCAGTGGTATCGCCTGAATGCGCCGAACCGTTACTTTCCTTATACGAGCTGAGAACGCCACCACCGTTTTGCAGCCGCAGAGGTGAACTTTTTCGAGAAGTCGCTTTTTCCGACGACACTGGCGAACTCGAGAGACTCTGCAACTTAGACCCATACGAAACATTACCATTACAGACATGAACATTAATAATACTGACAATATAGCAACGTCGTTTAAATCAAAGAAGCGAGTTCTGCTAATCTATCAATAGTTTACGTCAATACAGAATAGGTATTTACATCGTCTTTGGTATTTTGTTGCTGTGGCGTTGCTGGAGGAGTCCCAGAACTGTTGTGCGGCTGAGGTCGACAGCGGGGTGACTTTTGCAGTGCACCCCCGCCCGGTGAGCCCACCGAGCCGCCGTTTACATCTGGAGTAAGCGCGGGTGGCTGATCAACTTCCATTGTAAGACGTGTAACAATGTATGCTGACTGCAGGGATTGATTTTTTAGGTCTTAACGGATGACCTTTGTATACTCGGCTGCTCTGTCCAAAAGCTTTACGTTTTCAGGAAGCCAAGGAGCGCCGCGTTTCCGTTATTTCTTGGAGCTACGCAACCCTCGTTATATACAACGCAAAGCTACATCCTGAGACACAGTGGCATCACTTCTAAAACCGTAACCACAGTTTTACCTTGATGTCGGCTCATTCTTTTGTCCTAAAAGGCACAGACGAGGTGAACAGTTAGATGAAACGCTTTCTCCTGTATACTGTAATCTCTATGCAGGTATTGTAACTATGCTGATAATGCTTAGGATTACTATACCTCTTATTCATGTACTCTTCGAGAGCTTGACAAAGATCTAAACGGTCAAACTACAGCTTGCCATAAGCTAAAATGGCATACAGGGATAAACTGAATGCTCGAAACAAGCGAACTAGCTGATCTATTATAAGTAAGATTACCTCTAAAACTATAAACAAAACTATTAATGAATCGCGTACGCAGAAAACTTGTCCGTATACTGCCAAAGGCATTCTACTCGTGCATTACATGCCCGCATTCAATATGGCTACATGAATCGTGCGTGACGAGATATATTTTGGCGTAAAATCGACAATGTTTCCTTTTGACGAATATACTCTAGGCGAATGACTTCATATATAAAAATAAATTGACAGGTACGACGCACAGCCAATATCAAACCACAGTAAATTCAGACATTTCGGAATCTTTAGTCAAAATAAATAAATAAAATTCACTTATTATTTCTACTACAACCCACGTTATCGGTTGGCTCATCGTTGAGGCTTAATAACATCTCAGAGTCTCGAGGTGTCTTTGAAGTGTTTTGACCGTGTTGAAACGTCTATAATTATTTCTAAAAAAAATAATTTCAATAAAAGTTTTGTTTACAAATTTGAGCCGACGGTTTTGCGGCCCATTTAGGCAGAATATATTCAAGGCTCTATCGCATCGGCTAGAACATTTTTTGCCATTCATAATTGAAGTCACGGAAGCAGCAATCATCATACACTAAGAATTTCGCGTTCGCGATTTATAGCGAAATGTCTGATCAGTAAAAAGCTTCGATTGAGTTTTCATTCTCGGTCAGATCTGAAGTCCTTATTTCTCTACAGATTTCCGTAAAGCTGCTTTATTTCTTTGGCGTATTCGGAGAGCAGGTGACTGATTACGAGACGATTCATCCTAAGGATAATAGAACGCGACCATTGTGCTAGCGCCTGAACACTTTCATAATTCCTATATATACGTAGGTACTTAGCGTAGGGTTAGGCAGGCTTTCTGAAAATTACCAATCGGCACATGTCTGCGCGTCAGTTTGATCTTAATCATCGATTCAAATGAAATTCTACTTATAATATATATACTTGAATAGATTTTCCGTGGTGGTTCTATAATTAAGGCGGGCGATGATACCGGAGGTAAACTGCGTACGAGCTGAAGCAATAAGGCAAAGGAAGTCGAACGATGAAATGCCAAGTCGCACGTTTACGTTTTCTTGGTAGCACTATTACAACAATAACAAAAAGAAAAGAAAGGCATGAATACATTTGTGGAATAAAATTGTTTAGTTCATACATTAGTACTACTTAACAATTTTCAGTTCGAAGTTACGTTCAGTTTGTTATAGAGCGAACTTCATTCGCGTCATTTCTGAAGATACTCTTACTATATACACTATCTGTCATATAGACATTTCCGAATTATTCCGAGCTAAATTGCTGTTAGATTTGTGACCGTGATCAAGTTGTTTGCATAATTTTTTATTGACGCCGACAACGAAAATGGTAGTTTGTCGTATCTCAGAGCGGATAACTGTGCAGTTGGTACAGTTATCCGCTCGTACGTAGCTACAACCGTACATTGAGTACTTAGAAGTGCCTGTTTCAGAAACAGCTCATCGTACGATTCGAGTTTCTCGGGCGCCAACCGCGGCCAAGCAACAGCATAAGCCATGTCGGATCGTAGTGCATGTGGGACGTCCGGCAAAAGTCAAACCGCTGCGTAATAGCACAAAGCATAACGACATAATAATGTGAGCTAATGTGACTTCTTGAGTTCATAACACGGGTCCGATTTCCGTGACTTAATAACCAAATCAGCTGCGAAGACGTCTGGGCAGTTTGGCCCAACCAGCGTGCAAAGGAATAGCGTTCTCTAGTAAAGTCATTTTTTTATTGCACTGCATGAAGAACCAAGATCTAATTGACATCGAACGCACCTTTGACTGATCCCCTAACGGAGTGGGCTGGCTTTATTCTGCAGATTGTTTCTAATCCAATGAACGCGCCATGTCAGGCAACGCTAAAGAAATGGACTCGTACTACCGCATCGGTAATGTCTGAGTGAGAGCATCTGACTGCGCCAATAGACCAAAACCTACGATCTGAAGTTTGATCCGCGTGTCTTGCAATTCTTCTATCAATTAGATAGAAATTCCGTGCATTCGTACAGCTGAATTAACGCACTGGTGAACAAGTATTGGCGTTAGATCAAGAATTGAAATGGTAGCTTGCGTTAGACTTACAAGCTTACTGGAACTGCGAGAAATTCTGATGGGAAATAGTGTTTGAGGAATCGTTAAATGACACCAGTCAAATCCTGAGACATACAGGCCAAAAGCTCATACACATTTCACATATGTCGATAAATTAGTTAATTGCTAAGTGCAATACTAGACGTCGTGTAATGTTGCGCTCACCTTGAACCTAGACTATTATATATGGAGCAGTATTAAGGGCCAGTTTGGGGGCAGAATCATAGGTTACACATCCATATGTTAGACCGCACACTCTATGAACCCAACTAGGGAGCAGTGGACACTTAATGACTTAACACAATATTTTTTGTATATTCCTAAAAATAATATTTAATTGAAGCCGAACAAAGGGCATCACATTCAATCTAGTTGGCTCTCACGAAAATCGGATAGAATAAAAAGATCTTTAAGATACTTGACGTTGTGCATTACCGGGTTACGAACCCAATCCAGTTTAGGAGATATTTAATTGTCGCAACGCTTCTTGCGAGCCTCCAGTAGGGCTTTTCAGCGGAATTCATCAGTAATACTTTGTCGAATGGACGTTTTAACGAGCTAGTGATATTTGAATGTCATCACAAGAATGAATGTGAATACTTTCATCGTGTTTACTTGGCCCCTAAATAAGGGCAGATGCTAGCATGCCTTCCTGTCGCGTTAAAAAGTTATGAGTCCAATTGGCTCATATAATTTGCCATTTCCCTGGATAGTGATGGACGCAGCTAGTGGCTAGTGCTCGAAGAACTATAATTTGCTACTGCCAGCCCCCTGGCCGTCAGTTAGAAATGCGAGCTTCAAACGGACAATACGCTCCAATTATTTTTATACGAAGCAACAATAATAATTACATCAAAGGATAGAACCAGATTTATATAAAAATCTATACGACTTTTGCCTTTAATCCGTCCATAATTAGCTAACCCAGGTTGGCTACCCGTTGATTTTACGAATTTGTAGCATATTGATCAAATGTAGAAGTCTACGCATAAATGGATTCTTTTTGAATAGCTTTCCTTGCAGCACTAGTCATTAATCTACTCTCATTTTCTTCAATCTAAAACTACACAGAGACGACGATGAATGATATGTTATGGATTTAGTTAGGTTTAAAGTTCCTAAGCCCAAACGATTACTAAAGCCAATATAATTTAGCTTTAATACCATGAAGCACGGCAATTTTAACGGTATTGCGAACATTATCATTTCCCTAGTATAGCAAGTTTATCTAGTCTAGTCTAGTCTGTATCGTTGCTAGCTGAGGATGCTGAAGGAAACGTCCAATGAACAGCAGGTAGAATTGGTGGCTATTGTCAGTCTGTACATGATAGTGATCGCGATCTCAATTGCTAAGATGAGAAATTTGATTCAACGTCTAAATGCAACCTGAGCAGATGACCTTACAGCATAATTTTGCTGACCGAAATCCAGTACAAACATCACTTAAAACGAACTAGGGACCCAAAACGCTCGCTGCATGCCACCGGCAAATACTTAAGCCTTTTCAGAAATGGAGTTTCAAGACCATACAACACTAGACTATAATTGGCCATTTTTACAATGCTTGACAAAGGCTTCGATATTGTCTACGAATGCATGCGGATATTGAGACCGTATCGTCTCACGCTATCGTTTTCTGTTCCTCCCCCCAGCTGATCAATCGTCTACTATTTGCCGACAAAAGCAACGGCATCAGCGCCGCTGACGGCGACGTCGACAACGACAACGGCAACAACAATAGTGCAAACGTCTGTCTGTTTGTCTGGCTTTACAGGTCCGTACGCATGCGTATGTGCTTGTGTCTGTGTGAATATGAGTAGCCTATAACAGTTGTGCAAGAGGGCTGTAACGGCGGCATTGGAGCTGTCGGCGACGACTCCAATGGCGCTAGTCGCAGCCGTCGTCACTGCGGCCAGCGCCGCCGCTGCCTCCGCTGCGACCTCCTTCTCCTCCTCCTTTTTTGAGATGGCCATGTTGGTGTTGGCGGCGGGGGCGGCTACATCCTCATTCATTATTCAACTGGAGTAATGAACTATCGCTGCTGCTGCTGTAGCAGCAGCAACGGCAGTTGGCAGACGATGCAGTTAGCGCTGCCGATGCTAAAGTGGAATAGATGGATAGATAGCTGTTAACTCGGCGTTCGCCCGCACCGCACGTAGTCAGCCAGCCATAGGTCAGCAGGATAGAAATGTTGTAATCGTAGTCTGGGGATAGTGCTGGTGTTCGCGACAGTGTCAATGTATATTCGTCTCATCACGGCTCATGTGTAGCGCTGGCTGGCTGGCTGGCTGGCATGCAAACATCGCCATTATCGTCGCCATCATAAGGATGCTGCTCCAGCTGTTGCAGGCGATGCTGACGATGATAATTGTAGTTCTAGTAATAGTTCTTGAGCTGCTGCGGGCGTAGTAGTAGTAGTAGTTGTTTAAAGTGAAGAAGAAAAAAAAACTAAAAAGAAGATGAAAAGAGATGAATTTTGCCTGCCTGCTTGCTTGCTTGTCCACCACCTCAGCCATTGCGAAACAACGGCAAAGATCTCAACCGCAGCGATGCCGGCGGCCGAACAGATCCTTGCCACGCAGTGAAATAGCGCCAATGACAACAACAATAATAATAATAAGTGAGTGGCGTTCCGGCCTCTAACACCATCACGGAT